CAGGCATGAGCCACGCGCCCCGCTGCCTTTTCTGCTTTTGACCAGCAATCCAGGGTGCTAAAGGTCATATAATCATGCATCTTATAGACTATAAAGGCCAAATCCTTTGCCCCAAACTAAAGTGAGTAAGAACAAAGGCCTAGAGGTGGAAAATCCAGTAGGAGATATTGGAGTGAGTTTAGGGTCTGGGAAGTTCCAGAAAAAAAAGGGAGAATTCTGATCCTCCAGGCTATACCTGAATGCTTCCCTTTCCACACCCCCAAATTAAATAAGATGTATTTGGCTTGGAATTCAGACAGTGTTGGGGGTTCTGGTGCCTGGGGACCCTGGCTGTGAATCCTGTGGGAGAGAATGGGATGTATTGGGCACGCACTTCATGCACCTTCTTGGATTCCCTAAGCCACCTCCTTCTTTCTCTCTCTTGGTTGGCACCCTGCCTGTGCTAAGTAGCCCTTCTACTTCCACGTCTATAGTAGAAATGCCACACAGCAGACCATGGGAGCTGACTTCCCAACAGCCACCCAGGGAGCAAATGATGCAACTGAGAAGTGCAGGGGAGTTAGCTCCTTGTGGGGTACAATCTTGGCCAACAGAAAACAGGAGAAAAGAGGGGAACAGAAGCATTAATTCCTTCTCAAATCTCCCCTTGGTGAACTGACCCAAGGTGCCATTTCTCCTTGCAAACACCATGTGCTTGGCAAACAAGCCCGACAAGGGACCTGCTCTCTCCTAATGGCTCATATGAAGTGGCGGCCGGCACAGTACTGCATCATCTTGCATTGCCTTCGTCTCTTCTCCCTTTCACCATCCTGGACTTCCACCTCCCTGCAAAATGTCAGCACTTGCCTCAGAGTCTGCTTTCTAGAGTACTTGGGTTAAGATACGGAGACAAAATCAAAGCCCCCATCTCTACACGAAGTCCCAACAGTGGGGTAACATAAAGGACCTGAGGACGTAGCTGAGTTTTCCTACTCAAATGCAGGGAATCCAGCCCAGACTGCTGGCTTCCTCTCGGGAATCCAGTGTCAGGTCACTGGATCAGGCCATCTTGAGACTACTCCCCAGGAGGCTGAGGCCCATTCCACAGGCTTTCTTTTTACTCTCTTGCATTTTCTGCTGAGCACCTAAGATATCCCTTGGGAAAAGCCAGGCCAAAAGCTTGTGGCCTGTTCTGTCTTCTGAGTTTCTATTCTTTTAGGCAACTAGAGGGCAGGAGGTCAGAGTCTGGAAGTTCAAAGTCCCTTCTACAGGTGGTCAGCTAAAGGGTTTGGTCAGCCCAGGCTTCTAGAGGGCAGAGGTTGCCATAATAGCTGTGTCTGGAGTTGGGGCTAGGGAGAAAAAGTGTGCCCTCTGCCCCTCCTTACTTTGCACTTGGCACAGACTTGGCCACCTCTTTGCAGATCCCAGCTGGCTCAGGCTGCAGGCTGGAAGGGCAGCAGAATGGTCCACATTGGTTCTTAGCTCCCTGAACTCATGAGGTTTCTTCCAGATAATACAGGGCTGTGTAACATAATTGTGCAAATATACTAGCCATGGATGAGGCCCAGAGGCCAGAAACAGCCTGTGAGTCCATGCTGGGTTTGGCTATGTCATGATGGAGGCAAGTACAATCAGGACAGTGGTTGCTGAAAGATTACAGCCCAAGCTGGAAAGGATCAAGTGAGATTCTGTGATCTCCACATCACAGCACCCTCCTTTGGAAGGTATTATATGCATGTTCTGCTCCACTGAGGCCAGGGTGAGCCCCCAGTTCTGGTCAGAGGACATAGCAGAACCAGAGCTGCTTCAAGGTCAGAGGTCACCAGTCCTATCTCAGACCAGAGGACTTTTCTCCCTACATCCAAGACACCCAGGTTGCATCCAGCGAAAGAAATTCATTATAGGGGCTCTGCTGGAGGCTGAAGACTCTGCCCAGAGCCGCCAAGTTCTAGAGGTTCTCAGAGGGCCCCCAAAATTCAGTGTCAACTGATAGACTCCCCTGAGCAGTCTTTCAACAATGTGGCCTCAGGGTAATAATGGGCCATGGCCAGAGTTGGAGGAGTAGAGCAAGCTGCAGGTTGCTGGCCCAAGAGTACTTGACTGGTTGCTTCCATCCTGTCCTATGCATCTCCTTGAGGCTTGAGGCCTAGAAGCCGGTACTGCTCAGGGATTTTGACTATCTGGCCAAGACCAAGCTCACTGGAGCGTGAGTTGGCCAAGTGTTGAACGGGCAATCTCTCTTTGGGGGTAGTGAGCAGATTAAGGTTGACTTATCACCTTGGACAGACCATTATGGAAACCATGAAACTGAGGGGTAGGGGAATGGCCAAAGTGTGATCTGGTGCTAAGACGCAGAAACCACATGAGCTAGATTGAGACTCACGGAGCAGGACATTATCAAGGATCCCTCATGATGGTTACCAGCTCAAAAAAAAAAGCCATGAATCACAGAATCCTCACAACTGACAAACAAGGATCTGGGAATGCTTGATCTCTACAGCAACCTTTAAACCCAAAACTGGCTGGGCATAGTGGCTCACATCTGTAATCCCAGCACTTTGAGAGGTCAAGGGAGGTGTTATCACTTGAGGCTAGGAGTTCAAGACTAGCCTGAACAACATGGCAAAACCCCATCTCTACTAAAAATATAAAAATTAGCCAGGTGTGGTGGTGGGCACCTATAATCCCAGCTACTCAGGAGGCTGAGGCATGAGAATCACTTGAACCCAGGAGGTAGAGGTTGTAGTGAGCTGAGATCGCACCACTGCACTCCAGCCTGGGCGACAGAGGAAGACTGTCTCAATAAATAACTCAAAACCATGTCAAAAGGGAAGTGGGATGCTTCAGTTCCAAAGGTCCATCCTCTCAGGGATGTGCATAAAGAACAACGGACAAAGGAGACATTTCCCAGTGGAAAGGACCAAAAACAATAGGTTTTGTTGACCAAGAAATTCACTCCACTGTCCAGAAGGATGTGTTATATGCTGTAGATTAGCGACCATTGTATTCTCCTCTCCCCTATTCCAAATGGAAGGTTTTAAAATAACTGTTATAGCAAGGTGCAGTGACATGCACCTATAGTCCCAGCTAGTCAGAAGGCCAAGGTGAGAGGATCACTTGAGCCTAGGAGTTCAAATCTAGCCTGGGCAACATAGCAAGTCCCCATCTTAATTTAAAAAAAAGAATTAAAAATTTTTCAGTCATGTGTATCTGTAGTCCCAGCTTCTCAGGAGGCTGAAGCAGGAGAATTGCTTAACCCAGCAGTTCAGGTCCAGCCTGGACAACATTAGCAAGACCCCATCTCTTTAAAACAAATTGTTATCCTCTTTCTCTCCATTATTTTACCTTGGTTATAGGACAAGTATGGGGTAGCTAAGTTTATCTTTTACCCATAGATGGCAAAATCTTAAGAAGTCATATCCAGACCTGAGCAAGAATTGCCCCTCACCAAGGGACCCTGGACTGAGGACTCAATAAAGCAACTGGATGTGATTCTGTTTTATCTCCCATTGGGAAATAGGTGAATGTGGTTTTTGTTTGGTCTATGATTATTGCATTGTCAGGCAGGCACATTTTTGAAATTGTATGTCTGTCAAGAAAAGTATAGGTGGATGCAATAAAGGGTGGGATATAGTGGATGCATATTATTTATCTGCTCATCATCTCTTCCTTCAGGACCCATTTCTCCCCCTCCACACAGTCCTGATGAAGTTGTCAATTATGGTGGCCTACTCTTCCATCCTAGTGGTGGGCATGTGTCCAAAGCTGGTCAAAGTCCTCCCTGGGATTTTAGAACTAGAGCTAATGAGGCCAACATATGGGAGGAAGCGGAGCCAAGAGATGGAGGCATCATCTTTTGAACCCCTAGATCCAGCCATGATTCAAGGCAGATACATCCTTTGATTTATCAGTTATGTAAACCAATTAATTCCAATTGGCCTAAACATGTTTGAGTTGGGTTTTTGACACTTGTAACTGAAAAGGTCCAGACTAATACATGCACACAGAGAGACACAAACACCATATTGTTCAAACTCATCAGACATTATGTAAGTCTTCCATGATCTTACTGGGCTCAGCAAACTTTTTGTCTAAAGAACAAGATAGATATTTTAGGCTGTGTGGGCCATATATGGTCTCTGTTTCACTTTCTTGTTTCGTTTTGACGACCCTTCAAAAATGTAAAAGAAATTTCTTAGTTTGGTAGTTCATATAAAAATAGGCCACAGACCAGATTTGGCCCACAAGCCATTGTTTGCCAACCCCTAATCTAGACCATGTCAACCCTGAAGCTTTGTAACCACACAGTCTGCCAGTCCCTAGCCCATACTGTAGAGTATGAAGCAAGATATTTTAAATATCATTTTGGTTCAAGTGTCTTGACATGACTCAGTAATGGTAAGGTTCAGGGTAGCGTTAGGAATGGGAAAAGGGTCTTATCTTGTGCCCATTATCTGCCATGCAACAGGTACTGAATAAATGGTAATTACTATTATTTCTTGGTAATAAAGATACTTTTTCAAAATGATGGAGCTGTCTAAATGGCTTTGTCCAAATGTCTCAGTTCATCCTTGAAGACTTTTCCCCTTCTTAATCTCCTTCAGAAAGTATTTCACAGATCTCCCCTACCAATAAAGTCTGAATTAGGTACTCTCCTTCTTGTTAGCACAGACTTTCTATGGCCCTCCATTGTAACTGGATTATTTGTCTCTCTTTCCCCTTAACTCTGAGTACTTGGAACATGCCTGAGCCCCAACATGTAGCATAGTGCTTAGCACCTAGCCTGAGAGGACTCTGTGCCTCCATGTGAATATCAGTTTGAGGGTGCAGGTACTGTGTGTCTCTGTTTGTGTCCAGGATGGTCACTCTAGGTGTCAGCATTGTGCTGGTGTACATATACCCTCTGGTTCTTCTCTCAGTTGGAAAATATTTGTGGATGTCCATCGCACCTTACCTGGTAATATTACTGCCAGATCTATGTTTCATTCCCATTCCCTCCAAAAATGAGTCGAAGACAGAAGAACAGGTGGGAACAAGTTTTCTTAGAAACTGTTATGAAGGAGGAGTCCTCCAACCCCACCCCCACATCTTTTACTATATGACATGTTATCAGATCAGAGGCCTTCAGCCTCAGCAACATCTGGGGATTAGAGTGACCCCACACAGCTGGGGCCTTAGACTAAGCTGATCCATGTCTGTGGGGTGGAGGGGAAATCCTCCTGGGAAAAATATGTGCAAGGCCCTACAGGCCCAGGAAAGGCTGACCAAGGCAAGGTGAGTCATGGTGTTCTAAGCTGAATCTTTTGCCCATCTCACAGAAGCAGGCAGGAAGCACCACCATTGATCAGCTTTATATGGCACCCACTGTATACAACAGACAGACAAAGACAGACAGACAGAGCACACACCACTTCTAAGCTCAACACTGCTCACCAACTAGAAGCACCTCGGTTAAGCACATGTGAGACACTCTTGCATAGGAAAGATGTACTTTTTAAAGGAATGAAGAAGTATTTTGACAAAACATCTACTTCCCTCTCAGGTCCAGGGTAAAGAGGGACCTCTAATTCTGAAGCTTCTACATGTTGAAAAATTTCCCCTTCTCAATGGCAGTATATACAGTAGCAAACCTTCCAAGTCTGTTGTCACAGCCCTCTACAGATATCCTGAATCTACTTTACAGGTGGGCAAACTTAGACTAAGAGACAGAAGGTAGCCTGGAGCAAGGGGACATTGGGACTGGTTCAAGGGGAAGGGAAACAAGAGGTGTCTCAGCTCAGCCAAAGGCAGGGCCTCTGTCTACCTGGATTGGCAAGGGAAAGGCTCAGGTGGCCAGAACTCCCTCTTTCTTCCTGCCTGGGGAAGCAGTGGTTCCACAGGAAAGGCAGTCCCACTCCTGCTGGCTAGGGGGCCTCCTGGGATGGCAAAGGCCAGGGCGGACCTGAGCTCCGCCTGGGGCCTCTTCCGGGATGCACTCTGAGTTTGAGGATTGTGGATTGTGGGTTCACTGCTTCTATAACTTTCTCATTACCTGCATATGAGCCTAGACCTCAAATCCTTAATTATTTTTAAAAGGGAAGGGTCGGGGAGTGGCTTCAGAGGGAATGAGACACAGAACAATCTTTCCACAGCCTCCCTCTGCCTAGGCTGGAGCTGTCAAGGGTCTCCTTCACCCTGTCTCCTAGGGATATTTAAAGGCAGCTTTTATGAGACTCTATACTGTCTTTTTTTGTTGTTGTTTGTCTTTTTGTTTGTTTGTTTCTTTCTTTGTTTTAATTTATATAGATATATATATTCTTAAAAAAGCAATAGTCCTTTGGTCCCTAAACTCTAAGGAATGATATGATTTTGAAAGAAGTGAATCTGGGCTTCCCTTGCGGAGAAGCCCTTGGCACCCCCAACGCCCTCTGCTGGTTCCCCTGGACAGTCACTCTTCACCAGCCCTAGTTGCTCTGCCAGCCTGCGCTCTATGCTGCAGGCACAGAACAACCCACTTGATAAAAACAATCTTTAGAGTGGCCTTAGCCCCAGGCACCAGCCTTGGGTCCGATCCACCTCCGTCTGTCCGCAGCTGCTCCTTTGGGAAGGGCTGCTCAAGCGTTTCTGTGCTTTTCCTCTCCTTTCTTCTCACTCTTCCGTTTCTGTTGTGTATTAATTGATAAAGAGAGAGAGAAGAAAAAAGGCAAAAATCACCTTGGAGGGCAAGACCAGAAGAGCAGCTTGCCCCCATCAGTGACATCTCGGGTGAGTGGCTGGACCTCTCTTCCTGAGGAGCAGGGCTGCAGCAGGATCCAGGCAGCAGCCCAGTCCACTGAAGCCAGACTTGAGTCCTGAGCAAAAGACCCCAACCCCACATCCCCTCCAGAAGGCTCCTGGGGTAGCTCAAAGTGAGGCAGGGCCATGTGGGCCTTCTGAGACAGAAAATCTCTAAAAGTTGCAGGCAGCATCCTATGGACCCATGACCTTGCCAAAAATGTAGAAGAACTTGGCCCATCTCTCTCTCCATCACCCACCAGGCCCTGCAGATTCCACCTCTGAAGCATGTTTGCTTCTCTTCCTCCATCTCCATGTTCACTGCCATTATCTCAGCCCTTACTTCTAGTCCTTTCTCTGCTTAAGCTCCTCAACGGTTCTTTCTCATCTTCAGGATAAAGTCGAAACTCATGGCCTGCCGGGCGCGGTGGCTCAAGCCTGTAATCCCAGCACTTTGGGAGGCCGAGACGGGCAGATCACGAGGTCAGGAGATCGAGACCATCCTGGCTATCATGGTGAAACCCCGTCTCTACTGAAAATACAAAAAATTAGCCGGGCGCGGTGGTGGGCGCCTGTAGTCCCAGCTACTCGGGAGGCTGAGGCAGGAGAATGGCGTGAACCCAGGAGGCAGAGCTTGCAGTGAGCTGAGATCCGGCCACTGTACTCCAGCCTGGGCGGCAGAGCGAGACTCCTTCTCAAAAAAAAAAAAAAAAAAAAAAAAAAAAGAAACTCATGGCCTGAAGACTCTTGAAAACTGGCCCAGAGCGACTTTTCTAGTCTCATTTTCCAGCCTCCCGGACCCTCCCTACATACAGGTTCTCTACTCTCATTGGGTATCTCTGGAGTAGAACTGCTTCCCCAGGCAGAAAAGACTCTGATTGTCTCTCCTAGACTACGGGGCAGGAATGTTGTCTAATTGATCTCCTTGGATTGAAGGAAAAGCAAAGTCACCATCTGAGGATTCCTCCTAGCTCCTGGCTCTTCTCTCTATCCCAGACTTTCTCAGAGGTGGGTCCCTCCAAGGTCCCAAAAGGAGGACCATCAAAGCTGGGAGGGCCTCATCACTCAGGCCTCATCTACCTGGGGTCCATCAGGGACTCACCTTTCTGTGGCTGGTCGGTGAAAGCAGGTCAGTAAGGCCGGTTGGCATCCTTGGGCCGCTTTAGCTGGACCTTGAGCCTCTTCATGCCAATTTGAAAGCCATTCATTGCCTGAATAGCAGTCTGGGCACTAGTTGGATTGTCAAAACTAACAAACCCTGGAGGGTGTGGGCAAAGAGGTTAGCTGGGAACTCTGCCTGGCAGGGCCTCTGACCCAGCCCCCTCCGGCCAGTTCCATCAAACGCATACCCTTCCACTGTTTGCGTACACACATGGATATAGAGTCACAGGCAGACGGCCTGAGATTCCTAAAGGTGTGATTCTTGGAAGGATAGGAGGCAACTCTGAGTGTGTGTGCAGGGTCAGTGTGTTGATTGGGATGTTTCCGTGTTTTTCCTGGCATGGGTTGGCTGTCTCCCTCCACAGCTCCCATTCTGGTCCTCAGAACATAGTTGGAGTTGGAGGGGATCTTTGGTCTCAGAACCAAACTCCTTCTGCCCTGGCCAGACTCCAAAGCTCTGACCTAGCTGGCCACATTCCCGGTGGACACCTGATCGTCGTCCTAGGTAAACCTGAAATAAAGCTTGTTCTTTTTTTTTTTTTCTGAGATGGAGTCTTGCTCTGGCACCCAGGCTGTAGTGCAGTGGTGCCATCACAGCTCACTGCAAACTCTCCCTCCCGGATTCAAGAAATTCTCCTGCCTCAGCCTCCTGAGTAGCTGGGATTACAGACACCCATCACCACGCCCAGCTAATTTTTGTATTTTTAGTAGAGATGGGGTTTTGCCATATTGGCCAGGCTAGTTTCAAACTCCTGACCTCAAGTGATTCACCTGCCTTGGCCTCCCAAAGTGCTGGGATTACAGGCATGAGTCACCGTGCCTGACCAAGGCTTGTTCTTAGCCTAAGCTTAGCCCCATCACTGGTTTGTGACCCCATTTTGTGCCATATATTCAATCTCAGGAAATCACTGCATTATGGAAGGACAATCGTAGGGTCTGTAGGGAATCCTTTATAGTTAGAGGTGGGAGAGGCGTAGGGGTAGGTTCTCAGCTCACCAAAACACTTGCTCTGGTTGGTGGCTCGATCCACAAAGACTTTAGCAGAGACAACCGCTCCAAAGGGCAGGAATGTCTGTATGAGTTCCGCATCACCAAACTCCTGAGGCAGGTGATAGATGAAGAGGTTACAGCCTTCGGGGCCTGCAGGAACAGTAGCAGGCTGGTTCAGGGGAGGGACCCTGAGTCCAGCCCCACCAGGCTCTGCTCTCCAGCCCCCAGTCCCTCACCTTCTCTCTGCTGCTGGGGCAGGGCTGAAGGCTGCTGGGGAAAAGCTGTGCTCACTGGGGCATAGGCCGACGGATAGGCTGCTGGAGACAGAGGTGGGAGTGGGCAGTGATCCCCAGGAGCCCTTCCCCAAGCAGGGCCCCAAGTGCCTGGCGCTTTTGACCAATTCAGCCCAGTCCACCATAACCCTCACCCCAAGAGAGGTCGTTCTGGGAGTAGGAGGGGATGGGAGGATCAACTCCTTGGAACAGAGCCTAAATCCCCCACAACTCTCCCTATTTCTTTCTGGGGCCCTTCAACCTCCCCCAGGCCGCGTAGCGCCAAGTGAAACCTGCGTAGTGGTGCATCCCAGCGTAGGCCTGCTGCAGGGGGTCAGCCACGCCGGGGCTCTGGGCTGGGGAGAGAGGGGCGCAAGGCCCACGGTGAAGGCAAGCGGGCGAGCGGAGTGGGTGAGAAGCTCAGGGAGTGTGGGAGGTGGACAGTGGTTGTGAGAGGCAGCAGGGAAGGAGGGAGATCTCTTCCCAGGGAAGCCAGGCCCTACCCCCCACCCCCCCGCTCCCCACTCCATTTCGGGGGGATTTGGGCGGAGCGGGGGGCCCACCTGGGTAAGGGGAGAGCCCGTTATTGTAGAGCGTATCGGAGCCCGGCTGGCCGTTGGTCTGGGGGGTCAGAGGGCCGAATCCATTGACCCCGATGGGCGCCGGAAGACCTGGGAGAGTGCCAGGGCCGCTGCCGGGCGGGGAGTTGGCTGCTGATGGCGGAAGAGGTCAGAGAGTCAGTACGCCGCCCGGTCCTGCCCGGCCCCTCCCAGGCGCGCCCCAGTCCTTGGGGCCGTACCTGCCGCGGGCAACAGAGGAGCAGCCACCAGGCTAAAGGCCGCCACGTGCTGCATCTGGGCTGCCACCGCCGCCACCGGGCCTAGGCCTGGGCCTTGTGCCGCGGCCAGCAGGGCCGCCTGGTGCTGCAGGATCTTTGGGAGGAAAGATGGGCGAGAGTGGGGGGCCAAGGGGCAGTCAGCTGCCCATGCTCCCAGCCCCAGGCCTGGCCCACCCACCTGCGCGCCCTTGCACGGTACCTACCGCTGTGGTGTAGGCGCCGCAGGCCCCTAGCGGCAGTGGCGCGGGGTGGAAGGCGCCCAGTTGGCCGGCCATCTGCTGCATCCGCCGCAGCGCGCGCTCCCGGTCAGTGTCCGCCAGCTTGACCACGAGGCTGGACGAGGCGCCCTGGGCAGGGCAGGGGAGGCCGTGGTGACCGGTTCTGACCCTGGCCCCGGCCCGGGGCTGAGCGCCTTCCCCAACAGGTCCTTTCGCGGGGCACCGAGCACACTCGGGGAGGAGAAGCCCGTCCCCACCCCACTGGTCTCACCCTCAGCCCGGGGAATCCGCCCTCACCGCCATGGTCCGGCTGCCGTGCAGACCCTGGATGGCCGCCTGAGCTTCCCCTTGACTCCCGAACTTCACAAAGGCACAGCCTGGGACAGGATAGAGGGAGCGGGTGGCTCAGGCCACAGAGGCCAAAGAGACATGTGGCCCAGAGTGAGGAAGGGTCACCAGGAAATCCCGGGGTCAGCTCAGGTCACCTTTACTGGTGCCGTCAGGACTCCGCAGGACCGTGCACTCCTCGATGTGGCCAAAGGGCTGGAACAGGCGTCTGACGTCCTCCTCACCCTGCTGCTTGCCCAGCATCCCCACAAACAGCTTTCGGTCCTCTGGGGACAAAGCCAGGAATGACCTGGGGACCCCAAGTCTTCCTAGATCCCCCAAGAGTAGCCCGAAGAACTTAGGAAGGTAGCTCACCAGTCTCACTCTGGGAAGCAGAGAGAGGGAGAAGGCCCTGGGCTTCCAGGGGTGGTTTTCATTGAGGGGCAGGATCTGGGGAAAGGATCTGGAGAAGGGAGCTCAGCTCAGCTTTCCCTCAGGAAAACCTGGGTCCTGGGGAAACCCAGAGAGTCTCAGGGCTGCTCTTGTAGGGAGTGATGCAGTCTTGATATCTTTGACTGGGTAGAGCCCTATATGCATGGTTTTACATGTTTGACCTTTCTGTTCTTAGAGTTTAGGAAACGCTGTTTCGGACCATTTCTGTAGTATTAAGGAAGAGGGTGCTCAGAGAAAGCCTTTCTATTCAGACTGGGTCCAGAGAAGAGAAGTACATCCTTGCTGGTCAGCCTGATAGTGCTGGCTAGAATCAATGCCCCTTCCTGCTCATATCAAGGAGGGTTCTGGATTTAGAAACAGCACACAAAACAGTCCTCTCATCCTACTGCCTCATCTTTAGGCACTGAGCACTGGCATGATGAATCCTTAGCCTCTGCACCACATCCAACCTGGATGCCCCTCCCAAGGGCCTACAGAGAGCAGGACCTTGGTTTCCTGAGCCTCCAACATTAGCATTTTCCCTACTACAGTTGCTGAACCTCTGACCCCTTTCTTTAACTCCCACCTCCACCACCCTGTCCCTTCAGCAAGCTTCTAGTGCCGTCTCTGTATCCTTCCCTCTGATTCCCCTGTCCTCTTGCCCTTAATGCCTTCCAAAATGTTCATGCTATTAGAGAAAAAGTTCTGCCTGTAGACTTGGATTGCCATCAGAGAACCAGTCTGATTCCTCCCTGTGTCCACCCTTTCTATGGGAGTGGCAGAAATGCAGGAAAGGCATGCTGGGCCTGTGTACCTCGAAGAAAACTGGAGAGCTGGGGCTGGAAACTAGGGTTTTGTTGCACATCCAGCAAGTTAGGCCTCAGGAACACTCTCTGGGAGCCTGGGGTAGAGCGGTTCAGCCTGCTGTTAAAGTCTGGCTTTTTTCTCTGCACCAAGGTAAATCTCTGAATTTGGGATGGGGCTTGACCATGTAGGGGACAATACAAGTTGGGAGAGAAGGAGTGGATAGGAAACTGGTTTCAGGCTTTATCTTCAAGAGCTTGGAGTGCAGGAAAACCCATCCTAAATGGTTCTACTCCTTGACCAGCTTGACTAGGCAGTTGGGGGTCCTTGGATTCTGAGTGCAGGGGAAACAAGGCAAGTGGGGGGGGGTCGTAGACTGAAGCCTGGGTGACAGCAAAGGAAGAACAGACTGTTCAGAACTGACTGAAGTTAGCAGGGAAGAAATCTCCAACAAGACTATATGTGTGTCCGTATGTCACCCAGGTGGTGTGGGTGGCCTAAGTGGGTGGGTTTGGCCTAGGCTGCCCGGGGGATCCTGAGGTGTCTGTCTGTCTGACGATGCTATGTCTGTGTGGAGGGCAGGGGCTGCAGTTCATAAGAGGCAGGCAGAATGTGTTTTAGCAAAATTCTGCCCTCTGTCCAGAGAGGTACTACCTGGTGATCCTTGGGGAGGGGATGGATAATGGACTTGTGGCTGGAATTCTGATGGAGGAAAGAAGGTCTCAGCACTGACCTTCGGTGGTGAGAGTACAACCCAGTGGGTGTGCTTTGCTTCTGGGGGTGTCAACCATAGAATAGTGCCCTTGGAACAGACCACTGGTTTCCCAACCTTTTGAAAAATCAGTGGAATACATTATTCTAACATAAATATTAGGATGAAGCTCAAAATGTAAGAGAAAAGTAGAAACTGCTGTGACTGAAGCCAGAAAAGGAGGAGTGGAGTTCGTCTTGCTTGATCCTCCCCTAATACTCCCTAGAGGGGCTCCAAGGAAAGCCCTTCGAAATTACTGACCTAGAAGATAGAGTACAGAGTTCCAGCTGGTGTATGAGGGGGGATCTGAGATCATCCTGTTCAGGAGCCTGAGAAGACAGGAAAGGTCTTTCATGAGTCTCTTGACCAACCTGATGGTTTTGCCTTGACATTGGAAAATGGGCTCATTTGGCCAGAGAATGAAATCCCAAAAGATCATGCCATTGTTCTAAGTTATTTTGGGCTGCAGAAGGCCTGGGAGAGGCTGGAGAAGAGTCTAGGGCCTTCATAGTTCCAAGGGGGGCTTCACAATGCCCTAATTTGTAGTGGAGCTGTGTCATTGGGTAAGGTCTGAAAACTGGTGATGGCACCCAGATAAGATGTCATACCACATGGACCAGAATCCAGGTAGCCCTGTGTAGGAAGAGAGACATCACAGGCTGAGATAGAGCCCATAAGACAGAAAAGAGGTTTGTACTGACAGTGGTGATCTGATCCTTCATCTGCTCTGCCTCTTGTTGCTTTTTCTGCTGATGGTGGTCAGTTCAAACTCATGTCATGACCCATGAAATTTTCCGATCGTCTTTTCCAGTGAGAATCTCACAAGTTAAGAATTTTCAACAGGGCACAGTGGCTCACGCCCATAATCCCAGCGCTTTGTGAGGCCAAGGTGGGCTGATCACTTGAGGTCAGGGGTTTGAGACCAGCCTGGCCAACATGGTAAAACCCCATCTCTACTAAAAATATAAAAATAGCCGGTCATGGTGGCACATGCCTGTAATCCCAGTTATTCAGGAGACTGAGGTGGGAAAATGGCTTGAACCCGGGAGGCGGAGGTTGCAGTGAGCCGAGATTATACCACTGTACTCCAGCCTGAGTGACAGAGTGAGACTCCATCTAAAAAAAATTTTTTTTCCTTTTCTCTTTCAGGGTACTGACCCTATGGTTCTGGACTACTGGGATGTATGGAGTTTGGAATGGAAATGAGTACCTACCATGGGGTGGGCTCTAGGCTCCTGTTTCCCAGGTATCACCTTAAATCCTGGTATTGTCTTTGCCACTTTACAGGGACCTTGATTGTGTTTGACAGGAGGATAAGCTGGGTCACAGTGGTCATGAGCCTCAGGTGACCCAGAAATGGTGGGATAAGTTTCGTAAGAGACCCAGTCAAAGAGAAGTACATGCTGGACCCCTAAGAGTAGCCCCCCAAACCCACAGATCTGAAGGTTCTGATGGCTGATCATTGCCTCCAGAGAGAGATGATGATGGGATATAGCCCAAATAATTCAATTTCCTCTAGGTCAAATTCTATCATTTTGGTAAAAAGTGGATGCTACAAGAGGCAAATCAGAAATGTCTGAATAAAAGTATCCTATTAGTGGTGGGTAGGATCCTAGAAAGATGGGAATATCAAACATGGAGGCTCAACCATCCTGGATTGGAAGGAATTAGAAAGCAGCATCAGTATAGAGTTGAGACATAGTTGGAAAGCCATATGGTTGAATGGTATAACTGCATTTTCCTGTTGGCAACTGATGTGTACTGCTTGATCTTCTATCAAATGCTTTTTGTTTTTCTTTTTTTGAGACTGAGTCTTGCTCTGTCACCCAGGCTGGAGAACAATGGTGCGATCTCAGCTCACTGCAACCTCCTCCTCCCGGGTTCAAGCGATTCTCCTGCCTCAGCCTCCTGAGTAGCTGGATTATAGTCACACGCCACTATGCCCGGCTAATTTTTGTATTTTTTAGTAGAAACAGGGTTTCACCATGTTGGCCATGCTGGTCTCAATCTCCTGACCTCAGGTGATCCACCCGCCTAGGCCTCCCAAAGTGCTGGGATTACATGCATGAGCCACCACGCCCGGCCTCAAAAGCTTTTTGAATCCAAAACAAGTGGCTTAGGCTCCCAGAGGCCCATCTCCATGAAGCTGCCTCGTGCAGCTGGTCATATAGGTCAGGGATTCGAATGCGGCAAATGAGGGGGTTGACATCCCAATAATCATAGCAGAATCAGTCCAGACTCCTTCTTCAGAAAGGGCACCAGGATGCTGTTCAAGGAAGGAGCCTCTGCCTCAAGTTGCTCCAAAGAAATTCCTGAGGTGTTCAAGTTTCTGGTTTCTAGGCCACTCACACCAAATCACCTCCATGTTGGTGAAATGTAATGATTGTAGGGACAGTGTAGGGAAAGGTCCAGCCTTGGGGTACCAACTACCAGACACATCCTAAAAATACTGGTCCATTTCTCGGTTTAAATGCCAACCCAGAAAGTCTTGCTGGTGGCAGTAGTTGTATTATAGCAAAGCAACTCTCTCCTGTTACTCTTAGTGACGACTGCAGCATAAGAAGCCACGGGGAAAGTGACGGAAGGAAGTAGCCAGGATGAGCAGTCTCCTGGCCAGATGTGACAGGCATCAGGAGGGACTTAAATTCCATGCACACAAAAAACTGTTAGAACAAATAACCCAATTCAGCAAAGTTGCAAGAAATAAAATCGACACACAAAAATCAGTTGCGTTTCTATACACTAGCAATGAAAAATCTGAAAATGAAATGAAGTGAAAGCAAAAGCCAGTCACAGTGGCTCACGCCTGTAATCCCAGCACTTTGGGAGACCAAGGCGGGCGGATCACATGAAGTCAGGAGTTCGAGACCAGCCTGGCCAACATGGTGAAACCCTGTCTCTACTAAAAATGCAAAAATGAGCCAGGCATGGTGGCATGTGCCTGTAGTCCCAGCAACTCACAAGGCTGAGGCAGGAGAATCTCTTGAACCTGGGAGGTGGAGGTTGCAGTGACCTGAGATTGCACCACTGCACTCCAGCCTGGGAGATAGAGCGAGACTCTATCTCAAAAAAAAAAAAAAAAAAAAAGAGAGAGAGAGAGAGATGAAAGCAAACAATTCTATTTGCAATAGCATTGAAAAGAATAAAATACCTGGAGGCTGGGCATGGTGGCTCATGCCTGTAAACCCAGCATTTTGGGAGGCTGAGGTGGGCGGATCACCTGAGGTCAGGAGTTTGAGACCAGCTTGGCCAACATGGTGAAATCCTGTCTCTACTAAAAATACAAAAATTAACCGTGTG